TACAAATTGTACTGAGTTCTCTTTTAAGCCAGAACAGACTGCTCTTGTAGTGTTCGTCATTACGCATTAAAGTTAGGTTCTTTCAAAGAAGAATAATGTGGAGAAATATTCCAACAAATACCAAATAAGAAAAATAAAGATCCATCGAAACCTGATGATATAGACGTTAAGCATAATTCACGTAATTACAAAACAATGCTCACCTGCGAAGCTCTATTGAAAGCATTTTTCGTCTCTTGTAGTATACTTATAGCGACATCCTCGGATAGGAACGTCTCACCACCATATGTCTCCACAGTCAAAAGACGAGCTTGAACGTCTCTTTTCAGTTCTTGCAACCTGTTACGGTACATTTGCACAAAACAGCCAATCATTCTATATGTGATGCGTACCCTCCGCTGTGGATCTGCTTCTTGACATGTCTCTTCGACTCATAAAAGCGATGTAGTATGCTGCTACACTGAGCATGAAGGTATTCCAATTCTTCATTTGGATAAGACGAGAGATACCTAATTCAAAGGATATAAGCTAGCAATCCTATGTAGAGAAGCGAAAGTGCATACTGTGCATACCTATCAAATATGGATCGTGTAAGAGTGGGAAGGAAAGACGCATCGGAGCTTACATGTAAAGCGTCTAGATCTTTGTTGAGGCGAAGAATGCTTAAATCGGTGAATGAAAAAAAACGCAACTCGAAAAAAGGAGCAAAAAACAATTTCAAGACTCTTGGTTCAAAAGCGACAAAAATACATCTTTAAACAGCAAAAAATTGAAATAAACAGGAAAAGATGAGAAAGAAACCAATACCTGGTATATGCATGTGCCAATCCTATCAAGTAACCTTCGCGATCTTCGCTATCTTTACAATCTCTAAGCTTTGCATAGATGTGATCTTTCAATCGACCCGTATATAGACTTAGTATCTAAAAAAGAAAACTTCACGAGATATAAGTGATTAGAAAAGTGATAGTTATACCAATTTTTGCACTACAGCTGTAGGGCTTGGAAATATCGCCTCAATTTTTGGTTTATTGTTTCGAACTAGTTGTAAAGCTTCAGTGTAGACGTCATCGCTACCACTTCGGAACAACGATAGGATAAACTCCACGTACCGTGAAACGCAGTGGGAATATCCCTGAAGGCATAAATAATTGAAAAAGGAACCTTAACGAAGAGTTTTCTAGCCTCCTCACCTTAAACTCGCTAAGGATTTTCGCTACCTCAGCCATTTTCTTTTCGTCTCGTTGAGCTCGGCCAAATTCATCAATGAGCAACCTTTCCACTTCTTCATATCTATTGAATTCTCAATTATCGAGTCCAAAACTACCATCATAGCCTACCTATGAGCTATTCTTGCCTGAACAGTGGCAAACTTTTCTTTGGACAGTTCTTGTGATATTGAATACAGCTTTTGCACGAGATCTGCCGATTCCAACAGCTAGAATAAAGTAAAAGTAAAACAAAAGAGTGAATTCAGCACAAAAATACCTTGTCCGGGTCGGTAAAAATCATAGAGTTTAAAGGTTGATCGGAGAGGAACTCGTCAAAATGCTGAATCAGTTGCAGGGCATCGTGAGCGCGCTGCCTCGGTTGATGAACCTGAACAACCTTTTTTGGCAGAAAAGCAGCTTTAAACAAGTATCAGTTGGTAAAGAACATGATAAAGTGACAGAAAAAAAGAACGATATTAAAAAAATGATAAAAAAGCGATACAGAAAGATTCCGAATTGCATGAAAAGGC